ATCGCCGGGTACCCGGTTCGTAGGCCTATGCTTTGCTTTAGGCCTATTACTCGAAACCTTCCTGGAAGCAAAACACGAATTGTAATGAATCAGTTGCCGATGACAATACGTCAAACGTCTCCAGAATAATTCTTCCCTCTAGCACCCGATTTATTTTATATATGAAAGGTTAGCGCGGTAGCGTAAACGCGGAGCACTTCTTAGGGGAAGCCCTCGGGGACAAATGATTTACAGCCGGCTCCAGATTCATTGATAGCATTTACCATACATATACTTTCCTCGGTTAAGTGACCGTGTAGCAATCAAGTTCCTGTACCCAGTTAGAACTCACAAAATTGACACCTATCTTAATATCTCGTTTTGAGGGGAAAAATGGACACAATCCTCCCTTTTCACGGTGATTGGATCCGCCCCTGTTGGTTAATAGATGGCTCCCTTATATAATGTGTACATGCTGAATTCGACTGGCTATGCATTGCATATAAACATGCTGGGTACGTTGGGTGGGGTGTATAGCTCATTGTGACTTCTCCAATCTACACCACCTCTGCACTGAAAGCCAAAGAAACAAAATGGGTGTCTTCATTCTTGCTTAGTTAAGACGCAAACTCGATGATGCCCTTTAGTCCTACGGTCCGAAACAACTTGAACATCCACAACGGGCCCTGGAGTCGTTTCGCGCGCGCAGCTTACCAGGTACAACGAAGAGATATTGCTGGACGCAAAGCTGGCTTGGAGCGTATCCGCCGTCGTATAAGGCATCGCTTACATGGACAAGGGCAGAAGTCGACATACTCCGAACCCCCTTCCCCCAAATTTTCAGAAGTCGAACATTACTTCGTTATGACTAATGCAAGCAGGTGGTGAACGGGGAGCTTGTTCGAGTTTGATAGTTCGCAGCAAATAACCGTTTGCGCGGCAAGGTAATTTCTTAACTTAACGTGCCTCACTAATTAATTACAATCCACACCGCAAGCCTATATATGACGCTCCAGGAACGAACATGATGCGAGGGCTTTGCATTTTGGGAACCGGTAAACAAGGGAAGGGGGGGACTCACGTACATGGAGTAGGCCTATTAAGGCCCTATCTCTCAGCGCTAACTTCTGATTTATTAAGGGATATGTTTCACATCATCGTGATGGAACATGAGGATGATAGATGGATGAGAGGAGGCCTCGTTAGCAGGATGTCATTTGGCGGAGCTTGGGGGGGGGAGTGATGATGTCACGTGCAAGATGATCCGTCATCGGATACGGTTTATGTAGGCCAGGATGCCGCAGAGTGCTAGCAAAGCTTCGTAAATTGATGAGTTGCTTGATGGGAGGCGGGTTTGGTCCTATCACATCCTCTTATTTAAAGCTTCCCTTCGACTGTTTTCCTCCGTCCACGGTTCTCAGTTCAGCATGGTCGTTTGTCCCCTGATATGTTTGCATTATTTGTATGTGTAGAGAGTTACTCTATGGATTTATATTTGCAGTGCCTGGACCCATCCAACCTCCAACACGCCCCAAAACACCTGTCCTGTTGACCCTGTTGATTTGTTTGCTATTCCGTGTTGCAGGGGCGTAAATCCCGGTGGGATGGAGGTATATATCTTGAACAGGAAGGGGTGGACTATTGAACCCCCCCCCCATTTTCCGTGGTGAGAAAAAGAGCAGTTCGTGAAGTATTTTTCAAACTTCCCTACAACCAAAAATGTATTCAACAGTCTTGAAGCGGGAGAACAAGGTTACAAAGGCGTTAAATACGCGCTGTTTTGACGTAAGATTAAGCGGTGCAAGTAAATGTAAGATGTGCATCTCACAGACACACAAACGTATCATGAACAGCGCCCCTTGGTGTCATGTGGTGTCCAGCAATCCCCTCCCCCGTTCAAATTTCCACGGCCAGGCAATTTTTGTTATCTAAGTCTTCGTCCAACCACCCCCTCGTCCCCAGCACAGATTTACGCCACTGTTTGTGTGCTTTTATTCCCTTTTCTTTTCTCTCCTAAAGTACTTGGAAAGAAATGCACTTGTACATGAGTGTAAAGGAAGTATGACGTCATCAACCGTATTCGATGTGACGGTAGGATTTCCCACAGGGGACATCCGTACGCAGCAAATCCTCTCAGGCAAAACCTATCGTGGGCAGTTGAACTTCTTCAAATCTTAACCAAGTTTCCCCCTCTCAGTTGCTCGTTCCCACAGCACGGGGCCTTTGGAGGGGGTGGGGGCTACCTGTACGCGAGTGGGGCGAGCGACAGACCCACTCTAGCCCGCCGATAAGTTATCAGTATTTCCAGCACGATTCTGATCCGTCTCCGTGGCCGCATTCGAGACTTCTTAATTACCGATGAGAGCACAATTAGGGCGCAGAGTTAGGCCAGGGGGACCGGGCTCACAGACCGCGGGACGGGGCCGATGCGCACTTGAAGTCCTACTTGAAGTCTACTTTAGTAGAATCTCTTGGACTCGGAAGGGTTGTTTTTCTTTCCCTCGAAATCGTCCCGAGAAGGTTAATAATAGCTACGTGTTGACATGTCCTTGGCATGTCTGGATTCCAAGAGGATAAGGATTATAAGGATTTGTAATCACGTCAGCACTGATCTCATCGCTAATTTGTAACAGTTTTCCCTCGTCCATACTGATCCCATTCCTAATGAAGCAGTCCCAAACTTGTTTTGCGCCGATGCTGAAGTACCGAGTTGTATCTGATTGTAATAAGTACCGACGATCCAGACTTCGTGTTGCTTCATGACAGATTGGTATATCTCACACAGTTCTAATTCTCCATGTCCTAAATTCTTCTCAGAGAGGAAAGTGACCGCTTTTCTTAAATCGCTTGTCAAGACAAACTCGAATCCCGTTCTCTAAAAAACTTTGCAAGCAAAATAGTCTGCGATTTTCATGGAGAGGCCATCCACTTAACCTCATCTTCAGTTCATTCGAATCGGCTATCCCTCCTTCGCCGAAAATTTTATCGTAGACGCAACACGCCAAAAACTTGCCCTTGGCAATTCAACAGTAAGTCCACCCCCCTGGGTAGTTTCTTATAGGGCCTCTTTAGGGCAAATGTTTCTAAAATAGTTATGCATATTTTCGTAACCTTTGCCGATAGACTTGCAGTTATAGCTACATATTTTGTTACAAGTAAAAGTCTAAATACGTTGCGAATTTAGTTAGAACGAAAAACAAATATAGCCTGAGGGCTCTTTTTATTCCTTACAGAGCGATTTAATCCTTAAAATCATCACAACGTAGGCGCATACACGCACATATTTTGATCACTTTACTCGTTTTATTTAGCTTTGTACATATTTATATTACGAAATCCTTTTATAGGATATGTTTACTGTTTGAATAGCTAGTCTAATTTATTACGATGTTGGCAGTTTATGTATAGTAAACACTTCGGTTTGACATATTCCTCGAATGTTTGTGAGACACCTACGGTATCCACATCCTGCCTTGAATGCCTCTGAAATGTCAACCCCCCCCCCAACGAACTTGATCCGAAGCGGTCGTATATTCAGTAAAACCAGCCTCATCCTGACCGATCCGCGGATTTGGTTCCGATCGAGTTATGGTCCCACTACTGTAAGCACCGAGGCGGGCTGGGACCCATCTGGAACAGCAACCTTTAATTTGCAGCCAATCAAGCCTCTGCAGTTGTGACAAAGCACGCGAACCTAGTGGCTATTACGGGCTTAATTTGTCGAGTACCCGGCCAAGGTGATTGGAGGCGGCGCGGTGCAGCGTCCCTCGTCTTCCGCATCAATATTTTCACGGATAGTTTTGCAAGGGTGGACTTAGATTGGTTTGGGCTGATAAGTATGATAAGTGGCCTTAAATGTTGAGATTCTAAATAACACTGCTCGATGATCGCTTCTGGGTGTTTCTCTTGTGAGAATGCAAACCAACATATGCAATGCAGCAATATATTTTACGGTGGGCCTTGCTCTATCGCAATAAGCGAAAAAAGCTAAAGTGAACGACCCAAATGATACGCTCACTCCAAAACAGTTATTAAAAGATAGAACGAAAGGTTCTAAATGAAATCGAAAACTTCACACTGGGCAATGTGTACCAACTGGCTCTTTATGGTTTTCCAGAGGGAAAGTATAATGCTTCTATTTCTGGGGGTACATCATTTAGTCTTCAGTATCATGTGTATGTATGCAGTGTTAATTACGTAGCATTCCTTTCGAACAAGTACACTCGACACTCATTATAACAAAGTTGCAGGGACCAGACAAGTTACTTTGTTGTAACCTGAACTTTGTTATGAGGAGTGGAAACACAAAGAAAACTTAAGAATTCAAGAAAGTAGGATTCTCAAAATTTGTTATAACAGTGTTCTTTATAACGAGAATCAACTGTACTTCCCTACACAATAGACCTGCTCCACCCACGTGACTGAATTACGCTGAATGTACACACTACCACCACGTGTGGACCTCCGTGGCCACGGTGATCGCACAAAACATGTATTCGTACAGACAACTTCTACCAGGTACAAGCGTACGCGCGAATGCTGCATGCTGGAATAGTTTGTCTTGTGTCAGTAGATTATCATCACAACGCATCGCAGTCTAGCACGACTGTGACATCATCTATTCTCTCCCCACTACACAGAAGGGGACCATTCGAAATCTCCAGCGACATCATCGCCAGATTTGCCGTCAGGTTATCTGTCACGTGCACATTATTTCTCAGTAGAGTTGCAATGATTCTAGCCAGTCGTTTTGGCGACTTGACTCCTGTCACCGCGAGCAAATGACTCGACACGACTCGAGTCCCTTAACAGAAGACCCGACTCGAGAGCAATATTGTAAGACTCGAGTCCCACACATAAAAGCGAACTCCTTTGCGAAAATAAAGACACTGCAATGACTTACAGTGCTGGTTATACGTAATAATGTTCATGTCATGTGTTATTGCGTCACGATCATCAAAGGCAAGATGTGGTGTGACCATGTGTTGACACCCAGAGATAAATTTAAAACACCCAAAAAAAACTTTCTCTCGTTTTTATTGATCGTATTGTATTCAAATGTTGACTCGAATTGAGTCAATATGTTGACTCGAATCGATTTGAGTCACTAAGTTACAATGACTCGACTCGACTAGTGACTTGATACAACTCTGGTTCTCAATAATCAAGTTCGGTGAAATATTCAAAACCAACACAAGAAAACTAAATGAGCCAAACTGGCCAGCCAATGAACGTGACTGTATTATTACGGAATTTTTTTTTAAAATTTATTATTATTTTCTTTTCGCATATCATGTGGGCCTACAAAGAATAAACACAAATAGCCTATACTGTTATATGAAAATACAACAAAAAATATAACCACAACGAAGTGTAATACGGCTGTTTCACAATAGTGCGCCACCAAGCGTTTGCAACGCGTTGGTCAATCACAATGCGCGAAATTTGTCTACCCAATGCGCGTTTGGAAAGGGTCAATAAATTTGGCGCGTTATCATTGGCCAACGTGTTGCAAACTCTTGGTGACGCACTATTGTGAATCGCCGTATTGGCTAAGAATTTACTGAAGCGGCAAAGCTTCAATAAATGGCCGTAGTGTATGTATACAATGCACCACTATCTTCTATCAGCTGTCAAAGAACATCTTAATCAGCCAGTCATTCTTTAATTTTTGGTACCCAATCTCGAACATAAAATTGACACCAGTATACTACAAACGAAAGTGTAGTGTTTAATAAAACAGTGTCAGAGACTAGTGTGATATTTCGTTTCAATATAAACTAAGGGTTCACAAATAATGGCGATCTTCGTCGTGCAGAAGTAAACCGATTTTGGCAGAACGGCTACACTGAAACACTTTGACGGGTTAAAAACGGTGTCCTCAACTCAACGGTCACTGCGTCTATGCTTCGTCCACGCAGGCACGTTTTGCCCCCCCCCCCTCAAAAAAATGTCGTCGCGCATGCGACATCACAAGAGGGGAAGTTTCGGTCTACCACAACCCTATCACAAGTCACAGCCCGAAGTCACGAGCTATTCAAATGAAGTCATTCCACTGTCATTGTTCACTCTGTGTCATTGGAGACCGGACTTCTTGTCTTGCCATCTCTACAAAGTTACACCCCTCCTCTAAATGAGAAATAAGGTTCGATACTTTGGAGTATTGCATTGGCTGGAGGCAGCGGAATTAACTTCGCTCATTATGCTATTTCTCTCTGGACTGCATTAAAGGCAACACATTATTTTCACAGCAATCTGCAAGTATAGAAGTATATATGATAGCCAAGTTCAGAGAGTAGGCTGTTGATATGAACGTCTCATATTAAATTAACAAAAAGCTCGCGTTGTGGCCACAATTTACTATTCACAAGTTGATCAACCCCCCGCAATGTTCGACAATTCTCTTTGTGTATAATTTGGTCATTTTCCTGGAATGGCTGCTTTAAAAGAGGCAATTGCACAATAAAATCTGAACAGTAAAACACAAACGGCTGGTAACGTACCACGAGCGATTGCAGACACTGTTTTCAATCTAGAAAGTAAACTTTCAAAATCAGCATGCAACTAGAAAGTAAATTTTTAAAATCGGCAAAGTCCATGTCTCAAATATGAACCAGTAACTTGCAGGAAGTCCAGTAAATTCCCTGACGTAAAATGTTGGAAAGTCAAGGGGAAAGGTGCGAGTCTACAACTTATACTCCTTTGATATGCTCACGTTATCCAGACACATGTAACCACATTAACACACGTGCCTCTAAGAGCAAAAACTGTAACAAGAGATTGCAAATGTCAGCTGGCGAGTAATCCATTCGTTCACACTGGGAAAAGATATACAACTGGTTCATAATGTCATCTGTCATATCAAAAAATATGTCAAATATTTCAATATCTTAATTACATTGATCGTACATTTTGAAATATTTGCTGTATTGCAGGCTGCTTCTACTGTAAATACATCAGCTACCGTCACCGCCGTCAAAACTAAATCTCAGGGAATAAGGTTCTACATTCTGTAGTTCTGAGTTTGCAAATCTCCTGTGAAGATCAGAATAGAGTTGTCATCTTCCAAAATGGATGAAAAGGTTTTCAAAATAACAATTGCAGACAGACACTATATCTCATGTGGCTCCCATGCTAAACGTGCTATTATAGTAAAACAAAAATTAAAGAAACATGATTCACTTCTACCATAAACCAAAGGGTGAACACCGCCACATACCCAAATCAAACACCTACTTCAATGATTTACTCTTTTTACGACAAACACGACGCTACACCATTTGACGATTAAATTATAGCACATTTACGGGTATATTCAAAATGGAAAAGGAAGATTGTTTAAAAGGAAAAGCGAACGTACTAATTCACTGCCAACATGGGATAAATATTTTTTTCACTGTTGCTACATCAAATCAGGATAAAGGAAGAAAGTTTAGTTTCCCAGGGCTTACTACCGGAAGCCAAGCTAAAAGACCAGTAACCACTGGGGACGAGGCTGATCTTGAAAATTTGCATATGGCCATAATGTGGGGAGGTTTCCTTTATTCAAGCACAGGTCCTTGTTGTTTGATTTAAGCACGGCATGACAGCATCCGGACAGTGATCTGTGTAGGAAACAAAACAAAATTCAACAATTTCACGGTTGATGTTCCATACCATTCCTGAAGCCCTATATCAAGGTGTATTGAAACTGCATAAAAAAGCTGTGCTGACTCTGCATTCTATGGACTGAACCAAGCCCCGGCTGAGCATACATGGGGGGTAACCCAGCATCAATCTTTACAAACATTCGGATATCAGGTGGTACTTTCCTCACGTTCCACATCTGGTGAGCCAGGTTTGAACCCCACCAGGCCAAAATGCATATTGGGTTTCAGTCCCTTCGTGACCCCATCAAGACTTATATGAAGTTTTCCCACCAACCACTGAAACTGAACAATTCTTGATTCTTCCCCGTCCCCATGGCTCCAAAGGAAAAAGTCCACTGGTAATTTATTGACAATTCTGTATTTGCTGTCCCAAGCAAAACCAATTGCTGGCTGCCATCCTCATAAAAACCTCTCCAAGGTGGTCCTATGTGCCTACTTATTCCACTCACTTCATGTTCTCTCCTGGCGCTTCTTGATGCTCACTGGTCTACTTTCTGTGCCAGATGGTGACTGTGGCCAAGCCTGTTCCTCCTGTGGGCTTCGCATAGGACAGCTTCCGGGTTTTGGTCAACTCCAAGCTGGGCCAAGGAAAATCCAAACATGAACGATGCTCAATACTTTGAGGGAACACAGAGTTACAATGACTGACAAACACACTGAGCTCTTCCAAAAAGCTATCGTGAAGAGCAAATTTTGGGTTTTCAGCACATTATGGGAACATTAACATGCCGACGTCTATGCACCAAATGTTATTTCTTTTGCTAAATGTCTTAGCAGTTCTGCCAATCAAGCAAAATTTGAGATGCCTGCACTGAGGGTAGAAAATTCTTTGTCAGTAACCATTTGAATAATAGGAGGGTTAATATTTTACAAAATAAATTTATAATAGCATTTTGTCTCCCACTTACCGTGTCTCTATGTCTGGCTTCAGTTCATCGGCACCGTATCCTTGAGTAGAGACAATTACAACAACTCCACTGGGAACAATGATCTCCCACAGTCTCAACAGCCAGGCTACAAGCAAAAATCATACCATAAAATGATTAGATACCCCAAAGGAATCAAGAGACCCAGGTCTAACAAAAGAGGATAAAAAAGAACAGAAAAGAATGGATTTCTTTGCAAAGCTATACACTGCCGTATAAGAGACAAAAGCAAAATGCAAAAATTGGCAGTGACACAGGCTTTTTGATCATCCCATGTGCCAGCCATCTTTGTCTTGAACCCAATGCGCACTGTGTACATCTTAGTCCTGGGGTTCTCTTCATTCTGGCACCAGACTAAGTGTCCATCATGCCTGGCTTTGGGGAAGAATGAATACGGGAGGAAAACAAACATGACTGGAGCTTATTTTGCCTGACTAGAAATTCCTAGTGATCTCATGCACCCAATGGACCTGTAACATGATGACGTCACATTTTTGTTAACGTGTGTGCTTTCCTATGGCAGTCAGGTGGGATTTGATCCATCTAGCTTCCAACAAAAAGCACACATGTAAACGGAGTGTGACGTCATTTTGTTTTAGGTCTATTTTCCCTGTAATTTGAAAGAATTAAAACATCATATGATTACACAAGAATTTTTTTTTTTAAGCCAAAAGACAACACTGATTAGCACCAGATTGTGGATTTTTTTCAAGGCAAAGCTATTAAACGCTGATGGTGCCGTTAAGCTGTGCTGTGCCACCGTTAAGGTGACCTGCAGTAAGTCTGATGAGCAAGCCTTATTCTTGTCTAGCCTCGCAGGGGAACAATGCTGCAAAGGGAAAAATTTCACTCCACAAGTGCAATGTGTCTCTTTCAAAATGTCCGTGATTTTTCTCTTCCTTTTATGCATATTCTTTGTTTGAAAACCTTTCATTCCTCCTAAAAGTGACTAATCTATCAGAGAGTGCTGCATCCATCTTAACAATTCAATCAAATCCTCTTTTTTTTGCAAGAAACAACCGCAAAATGAGTTCCCTTCTTCGCACTGTCCTCCTTTTGCCTGTAAACAGAACAAACAAGATCCAAGATCCCAAGCTGCTATGTCTCCGCAGGCCTGTCGGAAACCAACAGGGGGCACTCTTCCCAACCCTGTGATGAGAAGCGGATTGGATAGCGCAGATGAACTGATGGAGGGCGAATGACTGGCCACCTTTGACCTATGATGAGTTCAAATGCTTTTGGAAACAGTGTGCTGTGAATGGGATCAGAGATGGCCCAAAAATTACAAGTGGATGATGAGGGAACCCAATGCCACTAGAATGGTTCTAGAAACAAAAAAAGAAACTATTGAAAAAAATGTATCACAGAGAGAAGTAACCCTCTGCAGTGAATAATCTCCCTCAAAAAACATAAGAGCATTTGTTCTCCTCACAGAGAGCAAAGTAAAATGCAAATACCAAGTATTTCTGTGGACTGAACTGAAACAAAAAACCAAGCAAGCAGAAACTTTGGCCAACACTATGCCCTCACTGAAATCCACAAACTCGTCTCGGAAAAACAGTTGGTCCTCCTATTAACTCAATTATCCTTTCACCAGGAGAACAAAATCTGTTAAAATGCCAGAATTCTGTTTGTTAAAAAGTAGACAAAATGATACCTTGATAAAGAAAAAGGACTGGTCTCTTGTCCTGAAACAGTTTCACTTTATGACCATCTAGTTAGCCCACATCATCCTGCTAATATTACACAGAACTAACTACAGGAAGATTCTTTTGGGAAGGGTGAAAGAACCAATCAAAAGAAATTTGAAAAGGGCAGAGCGCTGTGAGAGATTATGCTCCTAAAGCAATCTGTATTAGTGACTCTCGTCTTGCACTAAATCCTACATGCTGAATTTTGTCTTCTAGACATAAACCGGTCATCAAGAGTACCCAAGCTTTCGAACAAAAATCAAAAAAGAACAAAGCAAAAAGAAAACAAATCAACTTCCAATTAAAAAAAAAATGCAATGATGGCATACATGTATCAAGCCACAGACAATTATGACAATCATTTTAATCATTCTATATGAACCAACTCATTGTTAACTACATGTACATGCCAACATCATCATGCAGAATGGAACATTTCAATGGAAGCTAGCAAAGCAGGGCACATGCAGTGTTTGCACATAACACAATTGTATCAACATGGCAGTGGTGTGGCCAGGTTACAGAAGTAGGGGGGTGGAAGGGACACAGTCCACGACTAATACCCAGAACCTTGTAACGCCAACAAAAACCCTACCCTAAAACAGAATATGACATTTGCAGTGATGAATATGCATAACATATGTATATATAATCAGCAACTAAACTGTTGCATGATTAAATGAAATTTACTTCAAGGTATCAAATCCTGGCTTCTTCAATCTTTGTTTTGTTTTAAAGAGAGGCCTTGCGGTAACACCATGTGGATAGATCTCTTTTAAAAGAGGTATGGTTCTGATAAGAACAGTTGAGTGTGTACTCAACATTTCGACCAGTGTGCTCTGGCTGTCCTCAGGAGGCGAGTGGAGGGTTGTTATGTTTTGTTAGCCAAGCCACAGAATGCTTGCAATCAAAAGGTATTATCTAATCCCAGAAAGCTCAAGAAATCTGTTGTAAAAATGGTGGAAAATCAAACTCCTCCCCTTCCCAAGCTTCATGCTGTTCCCACACCTGGACTTGCAACTTGATCCACTTGAACGCTCTGAAAGTTACTGCATTCATGGAATGAATCGAGGTTGAATAAAATTGAACACGGCCGAAATTGGAAGAATGTACGTCAAGTTCGTCAACAACCTTGCCAATATGTCTCGCTCAAAAGGTGGGTGCAGACATACAAGAAGTTTGTCAAGTAGCTCCCTAAACTCTTACAACTGAATGGCCCTTGAGATGTGAGTGAAGGGTAACACACAGCAACTGAAAACACATGCATGCCAAATGAAGTAAGTTTGGTTTGATGATGCTTGTTCTCCATCCAGTCACCTATGTAAGCATTTACAAATAATCAGTGACAGGACCTGTGGTCAGTAGCCTACATGCAGGTTCTAAGCTTGTTGAAATTCAGTTATGCAAGCAAACCGATTTCAACAAGCAAGTTTAGCTTCTCATCATCTTAAATCAAGATAATTGGTGGTCAAAAGGGCCAAAAGGTCAAGGGTTTACTCAAGAGATTTTGGTAAATTTGAATATGCTTGGATAAACAGCCCAATTAATTACTCTGAAAACAGTTTCTTCCATTTGATACAGCACGTTTTTTTAACAGGTAGAACAGTGACCTCTTCACCAATTACTTTTACACCAGATGAGAAAATAATACCTGCTACTTTCTCCTCTAAAAAGGTAACTGCAATGATTGGGCAATATGAATACATCTGCCATCAAAGCTGAAGAAAGATCCATGCAAAACTTTCAAAAAAAGCAAAAGCGAGCATCCCTCAATGAAAAAAAGATCATTCTCTTAAAAAACCTGCAAACACGGAAAGTTGTTTATTGACAGAGAGAATAAGATTCAAAAGCAGAAGTCATGACAATTTATTAAATTGATGCACATGGTGAGTAAAATGAGACACAGTCATGATTATAATAAACATGAAAATCATCTCCTTTTGGGGGGGAGGGGAAGACGAGGCAAAATTCAAGTCGGGAGAAGGAAAAAAACAAATGCATTTCTAGGGAATAGGACATAAAATGACGCTTACCTTCTTACCGGAGAGGACACCGATTTTTTTTTTTTTATTATTTTTAAGTATTAAATTAAGTTTAGCATTTCTTTAGATCAAACCTACATGCACAACCAGTTAATGCCAGAGCCAATTCAGGGAACATGATTGGTATCGATTGTTCATACTTTTAAGAAAACTATGATGTAAGGCATTTGTTTGATCAATTCTGGTTTTTACATGTACATTGAATACTGCACTTTTTTCTAAAATCAAGAATAAACAACTCATTAAAATGCAAAGTTAGTCACAAGATAAAACAGACAACAGCCATGCTGATGGCTGATACATTTTTCTTATGACAATCACAATATATTTCCTTTGAGACAGACAAGTCTCCGATCAATTATGACTTTCCTACTCAGAGTTAAGTGGGATGGCATTAACTGATTGAACATACAGGGAAAAAAATCCACAAGGAGCACCACTATGGAGATGCCTTCCTTTTGATGTGGTTGTTGTATTTTCAGTGCTGTGGTGCCCGTTGTGGCTGTAAAAACCCCTCTCATCTGGCAATGCTGCGAGTCATTTTTTGGTTGAAAAGTTGAGATTTGGACATTTTGGAGGGGGAGGGTGGCAAATGGTTGTTTCATTAAGTCTCAAGAGAAAGGGGATGCTACTGGGGTTTGGGTCTTGGGTGGAGTCTGGGCTGGGATTTGAGTTGGGGTCCGAGTTGGGGTGAGGGAGGTGTACGGCAGAAAGAATTTGAGCCAAAGAAGTGGGATACAGCACGTACATTGCTCGAAACAAACAGATGTATTGCACTTGAACCATTTAACATCTGAGCATGAGCATTCTCATGATCTTTACACTTAAAGAGTGGCTGACGTGTCAAAAATTAAGTGTGCCTCAACTTGCCTCGGTTGATGTCTAAGCATACTTAAGCCCCATTTGATTTGTACACAGTCAAAGAAGTTTGATGACGGAGACCGCATATTGAATTGAACTTGGTCGACGTGCACGGATAGTTGTGGTAGCAACTATCTTTATATATGAGGTTGCAGTGAGAACTATCACAGAAACACTATTCACGTGACTCTTGCAAATTATTGCTATTTCTTCTTGTTAGGCTGCATATCAAAAGCTATCTGCAATATTCTGCCTCTTTTCAAAAACAAAAGTTTCTTCCAAAAGTAATGCTGTCAGCATGGAGGGCCAAAAGAGGAGAGGAAAACTTGAGGATCAACAGCTAAATTCTTACCAGACAATACAGGGAGGTGATACTAGACAAACCAAGGAAGATAAAGGGATTGTTTACACATGGATAAGGGGATTAAAGGCCTCCACGGAAAACTTGCAAAAGTTGGGGACAAAAACAGAACGTAGAAAACTGACTGTACAGTTTATACTTGATCTTTTTCCTCTTGCCAGATTCCAGGGGATGTTTACAGTTTTGTTTGTCTCTCTCCAAAAAATTTTTTAGGTTTAGAGTTACATTTAGACTGACTTTAGACTTGCAGGGATGTTCAGCTGGTAGTCCAACCAACTTCTCCAGAAGAATTTAATGCCCGGTGTCAGTGCAGGGGATGGTTACCATGGATTGTCTACATGAGAACTTGCACAAGGGCACCAGTGCCCCCAGTCCCCGACATCAAAACTGTGTGCTTTGAATGATTCAAAATAATATGAGGTATGGTGGAATTGGTACTTTGGTATTCAACACTGCACACCTTATTTCTGGAAATTTTGAGCTGCTTTCTTTCAGGAAGCGTACGCCAAGGATTCGCACAAGCAAACTCTTCCCATTGTTTTATTTTGGGTCATTTTTTTAAAAGGGACTGAGTTTGAACACTTAGTCACTCCCCTGAGGAGGAGGATGACTAGGAAACTAAATATGCATGAGCAACATCTGGCCAATCACCATCCCTGACACTGAGGTACGCGAGCAGTTGACAGTTTAGCCTTTGTTTAAGTGGTAGTCCCTGTTTAGTTTAAGTAACTAAGGTTTAGACTTGCAGGGATGAGGGAAGTTTTATGGCAGGATATAACCTGTCTTACCCCTGTGTTTGGAGAAGTAAAGAAGGGGGAAAAAACAGAATTGTTGAGCAACAAGCAAACCTAACACCATGGGTTAGTTATGGCAACACACTGACGAATTCAATGGGTACTTGATGTCTGACAGGTTAAATTTGTACTCGGCGAACAATTACCAGCCAATGGCCACAAATAGTGACCATGAGACAAACCGAGAGGATTTAAACAACTTTGTTTAGAGCAAAATACTTGTTCAGAAGTTATAATTTTCAGGTTTCTTTGCATAATAATCCAATGCAGAATTATTTGGGGAAAATGACTTTTTTACAGGCTTTTGGAGGAAGGAGAGGTGAAGTCGCCAGTATCAAATTTGACCAATCAAAAAGAAAAAAAAAACTGATACATGTAAAATACCATAGTATAAAATACACACATACATTGAGTTGCTCCACACAACCTATGACAGAGTCTGGTAGTGGCCGGAAAAGAGTCGCCCGGTTAGCACCTAGCACACCAAGCAAACAGCTTCTCATCCTAACCAATGTGGGACACCACAACAGTGATAACCCAGGCAGAACTGGCCTCTATGCTCATATGCATGCACACATGAACAACTCTCATCAGTAAACTCAGAGTTTAACTTCTGGGATTACAACAAGAATGGTATTTTTTCATAAGAGTTTCTTTTTTTTTACATCTTTATGACTCAGCATGTTTAAGTAAAAATCACCCAAAGATTTTCACTGAACGGTACTTATAAGACCTGCTCCACACTATGCATCTATTTACATGTCACAATGTTTGAATTATCAAAGCCTCCTTTCTTTTCCGTCACCCAAAATCCAAAAAAAGGGATGCAGAGAAAACTATTGTGGATCCACAAATAGTTAACCAAGCTTTCCTCTGAGTTTCACTGAAAAGTGATTCAAGTGTTGTCACAAGTAATTCAGATTGGACCACTTTCATGGCAGCAAATTCACTGAAACAAACAAAAACTTCTACACATTAGCACACACAAATATAAAGACAGTTCTCCTTAATTGCAAAGTAAAAAAAGAAATTGCCAATTTTTATGGTTTAATTCTGACAGGACAAAAATCGAACAGATAATCAAACACCAAATGCAAAACAGACATTTTCTGGAAACAGAATTTACTGAGCTTGGTTTTGTCTTTGGAATAATTGTTTCATAATTATTTCAAACCTCTCCTATGGTAAAGAACACTGCGACCTCAAAGTCTCAATGGTTTTTTAAAAAAAGTGCATTTATTCAGAAAGATAAATGACTACACATGCAACTCTAGTGTGACATTAATGAACCGACTGGGTGAGAAAAACAGATGTCAGAAAAAGAAGTTCATTCCCTATTCCAATAAAAGAAATAAGTGACAATTTTTGCAGACAACCATGTACAAGCCAGGAACATGCATCTTACTTTGTAACAACCAATCAAAACAAAGACATGTCAACAACTTTCAGCTGCCATGAAAGTGGTATTTTAGTCACCCACATACCAGACTGAATGGATAAATAATCCTAATGCAAAATGGCAAGATGGAATTTTGGGATATATGCATCTCACTAAGTTGTAAGAATTTTTGTGTTTGAAAAAAAAAACATATGATGTTTGGTTTCACTCAGGACTGGTTAGGTGGGTCACTGACAAACAAAATTACAAAACTGCAGGGCCACATGAGACAATACCGGTGTCACACAGACCTTTCTTGTTCAAGACTCGGTCAATACCCTCAAAGACAACCAGGTCAAAGTTGAGTATTTCGTTGGGAATCCAGGTGAACTGAATCAAACAGAAGACAAAATCTCCGAGAAATTAGTCCGAAAAAAATCACTGGAAATGACAGTGACCAAGTATGCAACAAGAAGTATAAACACAGTATACAGGTTGACCTCGGGAGCAGATAAAATACCTGAATTAACCGCATGCTGCCGGGTGGTTTGAAAAAAGCAGTGCACACATACAGGCGAATTTCAAGATTTTCAGTTTTCAAAAATCTTCAAAAATTCATCATTTCAATTAATGGACGTTTACACCTACATGAATTACTGTCTGGTGGCCACTGTAGCCTAACAGACAAAATGTATTGACGCCCGAGTATTTCAGCCAGGCCAGCAGGCTTGTAAAAAAAGCCCAGATTGTGTGGTGTTACGTAACTTTCTTTTGTTCACGAACATGGCACAGTGCACTGCTGACCTCTTTTCAATAGCGGTCATATTAGCGTGCAGCGGTGCTGTGTGGCTCATTGCTGCGGTGGAGTGCTTTTGTCCCCGGTGGTAATCCGCTCGTACTAAATGCCCAAAATCGTGGTATACTGTTTCAAAACAAGGCTGGATTATCTCCACTACTGAGCGTCAAAAAATATCGGCAATTCCCAGCAGCTCAGTCTTTTGTGCCGAGCACGGTCTTTTGTTACAAGGCCCAGCTCTTTCATCCTGGTTTCAGGCTCCTGGCTTCGTGTATAAAGCCTATGTGCTCGAAAACGGGTCCCCCGGCAGCAAGTGGTTAAAGACGGATCCTGATAGATATAGCATACACAAGTCGCATAAAGTGGCATTTCGCTCTTTCCTGTTTTGAGGGTCCCAAGTCAAATATTGAAGTGGAGGTCAATTTTGGGATTTTGTGATATTCGGAAAGAGTAACCTTGTCTATTTAATTCCAAAGTTTTTGCAGGATTAGATATTTAAAAATGTCATTTTCTCAGCAATTTCGATGTTGGCATTATTTTTGCCTGGTCAGAAATGTTGAAACAATGTCGGAAACAAAGACACAGAGCTGCCAAAACAATGTCACATTGTCATCCTGTACTTTTAAGGTGTTCCAAAGTGTGTTTTAGTGCTCAATGTACGTTTTCATACCACTGGAAAACTCTCTTTCTGCCGAATTCAAAAAATATCTCAAGTTTGAAAATTCCAACTTTCAGCTCATTTTGTGGTGACAGGTCACATGAGAATTATGAGAACCAAAACACAAAATCCAATGAGAAACATGAACTCATCAAGGTATGACATGAGTACGGGTGGTGGACACCAGTCACGAACCATAGGCTGAGAGATAAATTGCATGCACGTCAATTAATAATGCACTATTGTGACATGTGCCAGCAAGAGCACATAAAGAGCTTTCATGAATTCTTTCTGATGACACAAGGGTTTGGTACACTGAATGCATGTAGCCTCATGCCTGTGAAACCAAACTATGAGCCTTGCTAAGAATCAGGTCTGCTGATTCTTGCAGAACTAGTAGCAACACTCGAGATTATAAGGCATTCGCTGCCCTGAAGTGCAGCCATTTTGTGTCCAAAACTGGCTGACTTTGTGGAACTGCAACTTGTCTGTTGTGCAAGAAACCCCCCCCTTCCCCCGCTAGGAACACTTTCTCACTCCACCTCTGGTCACTGTGAACCAACCTGTTTGAAGAAGACCCGGGATGAGTTCACCCCTTCTGGCAAATGAACGTCAAGAGTCTTCCCATCAGGCATCAGGGATGCATAATGGCCCTTTTCTTGGATGTTCTCTGCTGCCATCAGGAAAGACTTGCAGTAGTCAACAGCCAGAACCTATGAGGGCAGTGGAAATATAAGAAAGGCTTGAGAATGCCAGTTAATTATATTCTAATGAGGTCACTTTATGCTTACCCTTGGACAGTGAGTCAACAACATGTTCCACTATGCTCCTTCCCACAAAGGCCTACAACATTCTTTAACAAGTACTATAAAATTGTTATTAAAAACCAACCAACACATGACACTCAATAGTTGTTTAGAAGCATTTTGTAAAAAACCAACTTGTTTCCATTTTTCACTAGGTTTATAGTTTCTTCTCCTGTGAAAGATGGAATGTTTTTTTCAGGACCCATGGGCATCCAAGTACCAATGTTTTACTTCCATAGATATAAAGCATTTATTGTCCAGAGGGAATGACAGGTTTTGAGAGTTCTTAAGAGAGGGGATGGAGTTTTTTTAAGCCCATGGAAATTTTTCCTTATCCCTTCAACAACCCGCAGAAGGAGAATGTGTAAATTCCTAAGTCTTGGCACTTTCAATTCCTTTACTCTAACCGCCATTCCTTTTTGCAAGGCACCATCCTGAATCCTTCAAATCCTCTGAATATTAAACAAATAAATTGCATACTGCCTGTATCCTCCAAAAAGCCTCCAATATTTCTTGAATACCGTCAATTGACGGGTGCCCACTGCCTCAATCCTTCAAAATCCTCCAACTTCCTACTACTATGTTGAGGCAATGTGAATGGTATTCTGTAGTAGTATGGAAGATTTAACTTACAATGTAGGCATTAATTTAACATATGTTTTATGCATGGCTGAGCATAAACAACACAAGGTCTAACCCACAACCTTGACGTAATGCATTATTTTCAAATCCCAATACTTTCTTGGCATTCTTCCTCAATCCTCCAAAATCTTCTAACACCACCCAGAGGATTGCGGAGGAGTAAGGCGGGTATAGGGTTTATAAAAATGGCAGCATGTCCCCCTCCCCCCCCATGCCAGAGTTCTCACAAACCCTGTACCTCCTTCATGAATCGGCACAATTCAAAGCTGAGCTTGCCGCAACCACAAATCAAGTCCAGTGCTGTGCCGCAGGGGGGGCCTCGGGCCTGGAGGGCCCCACGGCAGACCTCAGCCAGCTGGCTGGCCAGGTTGCCCTTCACGGCTCCGTACTCTGTCAGGAGCTGAGCCCTGAGGTGATGGTCCGATTCGTGGCTCAGCTGAATATTGGTGGAGGGCAGGGGAGAATTGGTTTTGGTCCCAACAGGCAGGCAAACCCCTACAAAAGAGAGAAAGAACCTTAACTACCTGGCCTTTGTGACTAACGTTCAGATTTAACAATATTTGTTCCTGTTGACTGCTTGCAAAGTTATCAGAGAGTGACAAACCAGTTCTTGAAATCAGATTGAGGGAACTAAACAAACATGTGTTGGCTGTTTCAAGTAGTACAGAGGAACAACCCTCCCTAAGTGATCCAGGACCATTCCATTTTTCTGAGACTGAGGAGAGAAACTCAGTGTTTCTGTGCATTCCTATATGTCAACCATGGACAGAAGTGTAGCACTAACGTATGCTGAACTGCCATTTAAAAAGGGTACCTTGCCCGCATTAGTTCCTTTTTCCTTTCCACAATTGAAGTAAATAACTTTGTTCAATAGGTTTGACGTTTATGCTACATACCAAACCACAAGTCATAATTTCTTTGCTATGGGTACAGTTCTTCTGCTACAGGGCATTACCGCAATTTTCAGAATATAAGCCACCTGGTGTATAAGCCGCAGAGACATTTTTCAGCGTGAGAATCAACATATAAGCCACTACTTATAGTCTGAAAACTACGGCAGTACTTTTTCTCAGAATAAGGCTGCATGGTCCAGTCTTTTCTGGAGTACTGGTTCAAAACTAGTACAAATTGACCTCTGTCACAGGGCAGCCATCTTGCTTTCCAACCATTCAAAGCAATGCAATCAAACTGAGACTGGAAGGAAAAATAGTCTGTTCCCTTTTATCATATGTCGAGTTATATTACTACTGCCAAATGGGCTACGGGGAGCAAGACAAACATGGCACCATCATGATAAACGTCTATAGCAAGTGTCAGGTTACACAATCTCACCTAATCAAGATACTGAATCTGCAGGTAGCGTTGTAATCTTTTTCTACTTCCAGAAAATAATCAGTACTCAACCATGTCAATATACTCATTTAATGACTTCATTTCATCTATACACGTATCGACTTCCCACACAATTTCTCTACCCTGATGAACCTCAGCATTAAAGATTTCTTAGTTGTGTATCAGGAGAGCACAGGACAATTAACTTACATGAATGCATGCAATGTGCTTGCATGTGGCTGGTGAGGAATTCCTGTTTGCTTGAAACGGTATAGTACTTTAGTTGCCACATATATTGTACTTTTCTAAGCAAGTCTGCTATCAAATCTTTTTCTTTATGCAATTGCTTGACATGGCATCTGTAAATTTATGAACAGAAGCTCAGGCAATGGTGCTATACAGAGAGATTAAGTCTGCACCAAGATATCCCCATCCACCATCAGTGTTATACACGCAATACCTTCAGTGATGTTGCTTGGCCTACAGATTAAGGCGACCGGCAAAGTGGCGCTGGTGTCCAGAGACCGCACAAGACGGAAGCTTGCATGCTGGTAGAAGTGTCGGCGGAAAGCATATCTGGCAAAACATGATGACTCGTCACCAGTAGACATGTTACAGCCACCCTTCACAGAGAAAAAAAAAATTGCTGACACATGTGCAATAAGAGGCAGGGATCAAGAGTGTTAAGATATGAAAACTGGGTGCGGTCAAGAAAGTCCATGAGAATGCTTCAGTGTCAAGCATTTATGCACCGTGAAACACATGTTGGGCAGGGCAAAAACACCCTGAAGAGATTAAAATTAAGAAATCAACTGAGTTTACCTATATGCTAACACATAAAATGATGCCAACTTTTAAAAAATGGTTTACCCAGCAAGAAATGAGACCAACGGGTACCCCCCACCATGTCCAATCTCTATACACATTCCAGACTATTGTTACTTAACACATCCCCCCAAGATGTCTGAAAGGAATTCCCCAGATTCCAGCGAGACAATGACCAACACAAAGCAGGGGGGTCTCTGCGTCTCATACCTTGCTGCATATGAAAAATGGAGTACGTATATATAGCGGTCTGGCTCCCAACCGATCGCTCGGGGTGGCAGTCCATTCACCCATGAAGGGGAATTGGAGGCCAGGCAAAAACAGAAAACTCGGCACGCACAAGACTTGGGTACTAAAATTGGGCTGGATTCCCCATATTTCGCCGTCGCCAATGAAAACTGCTTGTTCAATATGTGCAAGGTACTGCAAGCTAGATGACTCCCAGTGGAGTCACTGTTGCATCCATCCACACAGTTGTCTTGCTGCAATCCCCCGAAAAAACCTTGGACGCCTGCCAAACTTCAGTCCAGCCAAAAAATATGTAGGCCACTTCCGGCCAACAGGCATGACACCTAGCAAGTACTTTGCAAGTGTGCACATAATAGGGCCCTGCTCCAATCGTGCCTTGAAGACATGCACAAGGTTCAAAGATATAACTGGGGAATTCCCAGACTGCTACATATATCATTTTCTAAATAAAACTAAGTGCTTCGAAATATATAACCCCATTCCTTAAGAGGAAAAACAAACAGAAAAATACAACAGCACGGCGAAACAGATCTGTGTGCAGAAGTGAAAAGGAGTTCAGGTCAGTTTATACTAGTAAATGTCAACACTTTTCACCGTTTTCATAAATTGACTCATTTTTTTCGCTTTGCACGATAAAACACACTCCGTCCAGAGAGAGATCACCTGGTTGATTTGGCCCCCCCCAAAGAAAAAACTGAACAAGTGATGTTTTGGGGATAAATTCATGTCTTCTTGATAACAGTCACAATTTACTGTGTGTCTTACCAAAATCACATTGTGCCGTCCGTCAAAGGTTGGGGTGCTGAAATCATCGTATAGGTGATGCGTCAGGCTGCCAGGTAAGCCGTTGAAGTGGTCCTCCATCCACTCCCACATGTTGCCAAACACATCATAGAATCCCCTCTTGGTAGGTGGGTACAAGTTAACCGGCTGCCAGCGAAATACAGTGAAAGTAGATGACATGGTTCTATTTAGGCCCTGGTGGGTATCACGTACCAAGTTCAGTATAGGCCAGATCATTTATTTAGCCCAAACAAATTGAAAATCACCTTGCATGTACATATGTGTACATCCATTAAGATTACTTTTTTGATCTACCTGTCTTAGAAAATGGGACATCAGACTTCTGTAAAACTGTGCCAAAATGACTGCGAGGCATCATTGTATAGAAGCTAATTAATATAATATATCAGCAAAATATAAATGTATATCGATGGCACTGGCGAACAAATACATGTACTGGGGACAAATTCTTCTCCCATTCTTTTTACATGTGGCATCAACAGCATGATTACAAATCCAAAAAGGCAAAAACAAATCGTAACCTTAATGACATGACAAAAAATGCAATCTGGACAGTCTATCCCAAGGAGGCATGATCAGAGATCACATGCAATGCCATTCAGGGCAGGACTAGGTTTTATCAAATCTTGGATGCAGTATCGTTTTCCTACCAACGTAGCAAATCAAACGGACGTTCTCCCACCTCCAATAATTTGGAGGAAACGGGGCACGTGACTCACCGTGTGCGTGGTGTAGGCCAGGTTTGCATTGTGTCTCTCCTGCAAATCGCTGTGGTACAAGATGTCTGCAGATGTGTCGTTGCTGATTCGTACCTGACGGAGTATAAAGTGTTCCAAACTCATAACATGCATAGACCGAGAAGGCCATCCCATGGAAACTGACTCTTGACTTTATGTACTTTGACATGGGACACAGCATCTTTTCCTCCAAAAAAGGTGAAGTCAAGGGTACCATGTAATAACCCGGGGGGGGGGGGGAACACGGGGATGCCTCCATGGTACAGTGTCGCTAGGTCAAAAAAGGATAAATGTGACCTGGAAGGAAGTGAAATTGGTCACTTAAGGGTGACCTTTGCATTTTCTTGTACATGTGCCGAGTTCCAAGATTAACTGGGTGTAGGACAAGCAATCTTGCATCATACCACAAGTTTGATATCCTTATACTGTGCCCTGGCACCGTACTAAAGGCCAGTTCACACTTCTACAGGCAAATGTTGAAGTCTTAACAAAGCAAATTTGACGTCACAAAAGATTTGAAGTGAAATTTGGCTCAAGTTGAAATGCGTTACACTTTTGTGAATTCACAGTGCATATATTTGATCTGACCTCATAAATTTGCATTTTTTGTTCACTTTTGTGCTAAGTACAAACCGGCCTTAAGGGGTGGTGGGTTTGAGTGCATTATACATTCAACGTTTGCAAGCTTGAACCTTGACTAATCGTAGTCGGGGTCAATGACACTACAGCATCAACAACAGGATAAAAATTGTTTTTCTCGCACTTAACACCTAGGACCTGTTCTGTTTTTCACAGAAACTGGATAACATCCTGGCACGTGCAACAAATTGACTAAAAGTAGCATCGTCAAACCTATGGTCAAACACAATGGCTTCAATTAACCCACACATTAAAATGCAAGCCCGAACGAATGGATTACCCAGCTTTTAAAGACTTAAGATGAGGCAGGCCCGCCAGCATTACCTCCTTGTCTCGGATGGCACAATGCTCGGCTTCTGTCATCAGACGAAATTCTTGGCCCTTCCATCTGCAGTAGGCCTTGGCTTCGTGGTAGTTGACAGCCACGGGCCAATCCCAAGGCATAGGAATCTCCTCACAGAGGGTTCGCAATCTACAAACCAGACATTGCGCAAGACAGGGTCATAACAGAAATTATAAGTACTAAAAATGACATTATACTGCCCAATTACTGCACGCGTATACTCAATCATGCATCACAAAAGCCATTACTTGTTGAGACTCAGTGTACAGCGTTGGAATAAGCTTCCATGAAAAGATAAGTTTTGAATAGTTTTAAATTCATCAATGGATTTTGCATTTCCTACATGAAATAATAAGTTATTCCAAAACCTGGAGGCACCACAAGCAAATGAACAATCTTCAAGAGTAACCCTAGTTCTACTATAAGGACGGTTAAGAGTCAACCTGTACTGTGACACCATCAAGAGTTACCTAAGTTCTATTTGATTTAATACAACTGTGACAAATTGGTTTTAAACTAGTGTGTTTAAAACTGGCTAGGGGTCTGGTAACGATTATGCATGGACCAAGCCAATGGCAAGTCCCACCATTATTAAAAGTAAGGCCTATTATCATCATCACGGCCCCTTGGTCACTCCTAGACATATTTATTTAAAGCAAACCTATCCTATTTTTTATTATCCTATTCACAGATATCTTGTTTGGGTGGAAAGGTAAATATCAATTGCAAATTCAAGTTTACACTTTCCATTGCTTTTGTATATCAGTTTTACCTCAGGGTTTGTGAAACATCTCTCTTGTGTAATCAATGGCATCTGCCCTGGGACTGAACAAAAATCTCCTAATATTGACATTTGTGCGCAGTGCGCAAAGTGACGCTGTAGCTGAGCTGGGGTGAAGAGAAATTTCAACCCTATGAAATGCGGAGTCATATTGCTTGTATCATGCATGCGTACGTGATGATGACTGTCACGCACGAGTTTAAGAGTCCAGTTAAGGAGTCAAAACCAGTTGTCAGCTTTATTACCTGTTAAAAACTATTTCCATGACTGTCTCTAGACCAACAATAGGTAGGCTGGGGAGTACATTTCTACCCAACCTCAAGGTAACCTGCAGTTCACAGTGGTTTCGGCCAGGTTTGTGAGAGGGTTTACAAAGAGTTTATTATCTAAGGGTCACTGATCACAACTCTGGCGGTTTCTCTCGGGCTGTGCCACTATGGAAGCCAAGCCCAAGCAAGAGGCTTAAAAAACAAACCAATTAGGAGTACCTTAATTCCCAATAATGGGTGCAGCTCAAACCACATGCCACTCAGTGGGAGGGATAGTTCATAGTATAAATACTCTCTGGTCCTTTTCAGCTCTATGTACTTAAGAACAGAGTTCATTATCTAGGGGTCACTGATCACAACACTGCAGTGGTTCCCTATATAATTTTGTTTTATTACTTAAGAACAGGTCCAATAACACAGCTGGCCATTCTAATGTTCCATGACTTTGCCACTCAGGAGGTAATCCCAGAGAGCTTTGAATAAGCTGCTGGGCCCAGCATGACAACTTCAGTGTGCAATATTATGTCAATATCTTCAATGAAGCCACCCCCCCCTTGAAAATGCCCACAGACTCCAAAGCTGACAGTACGTAACCCGCGGGAACTGGCTGCTCATCGGTCCAGTCGGCTGGGAATGCGTTTCTTTAACAGTACAACTAGTCAGACCATATTTTGACCATATTTTGAAAAGTGAATGATTAAATGATCAAAACAGCAATCATAAATGTGTGGTCCTAATCAAGTGACAAATCATATCATAAAGGAACGGGACAATGACAAACGATGCCACTGTCACGGTTCACTTTAAAAAAGTGACTTGACAAGATACTGGACAACTTGAGATTGGTTCCAAAGCTTTGACACAGTCCATACAAAAAGGTAAAAAAACTTTTTTTTTTTAAAGCTGAATTATTGAATCTTTACCAATTCTGATTTCTTTTCAAAAATGTTGGGACATCATCACGTTCAAAAATATAATTAAGGGATGTCTCCACCAGCAAACTTCAAGAGAGGGCAAGTGGTCTAAGCAATGATTAACCCTAGCCATGTGGCTGAGTCAATGTTTTTTAAGAAAAAATAGAAACACAGCAAGAGAGCCTCCAACATTTGTGAACACAAATGGCGCTCTCTTGCATAATGAAACTCTGTCCACTTGAAATGTTACCTGATCTATTTCTACTCGTAGGGAACAACCAGGTAATACACTGTAGATCAGCTTAGAGACAGCCCATATTCCCAAATACCTTGTTTCAACACTTCAAATTAATCTGCTTCCTGGATATCCCACAATGAGAAACTAAAACTAAAGACACCTGTTTGTCTCATGTGCACGCCTATGTGCAGGCCAATTAGGGTATGGAAATACTGTTCACTGTAAAACAATTGCTGTCTCACAGCAGAATGACTGAATGTGCCAGTTCAGGGAAGTCCCCAAATTCAGCTCACTTTGTTCAACGTGTGGCGGAAATGTTTCCGTTTCCAGTTGTGGCTTCCTGATTTCGGTTTGTTCTGTGCAATGTTGATCCAATGTTGATCCTTTATTACTCTATCAAGTTTGTTACTGGTCGTGCTTTTGCTTTGCAAGTTTAGGGAAATGATCTAACCTTACAAGTGAATTGCAAGCCAATAAAGCTATGGTTGAGTTAAAACCTTATACAGTGTGCATCAATAGAAACCCTCCATAATTTTCCTCCACATTATGCCCATTTTGATCAGGATGCCAAATCCAATAAACTGAACCAAAGGTTTCAATTTGTTCTTTCAAATGTGAACAAACAAACCAAATGACCAAGACAAAACATGACCCCAATTGTCTTCATGATTATACAACGGAGTATCTTAAAGCATAGCTATGTCTGGCATGGTTACATGTACACACCCCATGAACATCTAACAAAAGAAACAAAGTGCACAAACAATGACTCTCCGTTGGTATTGCATGGTACTTCTTTTGTTAGATGTTCATTGTGACATGAATTTGCATAATGTTTATGATGTACCTCTGGAACGAAGTGAATGTCTGTGCTCATGGCACTGCTGTCCTTCGAGCATGACCAGATAAGGAAATGAAACTGGCATGCAAATAAGAACCTACAAATATGAGATCTTTCAACATATGAAAAGCTTTCATAATGGGCTGAGTAGATTCAAATAAGTGAATGTTGGACCTTCCATTCAATTGAATATTTGGCTGTACTAAATCCCACAAAAGCCAAAACCAAACAAACCCGTTTTCACAAAATGGAAGAAAAAATATACTGGAAATGTAATTGATGGCCTTATTACTGAACATATGCATGAAGCTAACCCCAAGTTTAATCTTAACACCTGGCTTTCACAATGCAATTTTTGTAATAAAGTAATTGAATTTTTCACTTCAAATATTCCATTTCAAAAACAAACATTTGAAAATTTAAAAAATCAAATGTCTAATTGTTCAAATAATCAGTGCAATTCCAATTTCTTGAACCCTGGTCCTCAACAGCAACCCAGAGTTGGCATACATCGGTCACTTTGTCCTGACTTTTGCAGAAGATGGGTCACCTTTTACAATTTGGCAATCGATCAAATGTCTGAATATTCAAATAATAGGTGCAGTTTTAATTTCTTGGTCCTTGGTGCCTCACTGCAAACTAAAGTTGGCATACATCAGTTACTTTGCCCTGGCATTTGTTGCCGACAGGTCACCTTTTTACTTTTACAATTACTTGTGGACCGAGTATGAAACTTCTTTGTGAGATCTGGTATGCAATATAGCCAGAAGTGAAAACACAACAAAGGACAAACGCGCCCTCCTTAAATGTCTGTGACTTGTCTCTCTGTTTACCTATACTGATTCGTCTCATTGTTGTTAATCTGTTGCAGGCCATTGCTGGCAGGGATGTAGCCATTGCCACCGCTGCTGTTCCTGCTGTTGATGTTGTTGCTGCTGCCGTTGGCTTCCCCATTCAGCCACTCCTGACAGTGGCTGTATCCAGCCAATGCTGCACCGCAGTTGGACAGGCAACCTGCACAAAATGTCACAATAATCTCACAATTAAACCCATCAGCTACTTTAAATGACAGATGTAACACATGGCTATAATCTCTTAATGTCAAAATCTCCTGTCTGGTTGTCATCCAATGCTTTATGAACAAATGCTGAATACACAAACATGGAGTGTTAACTCCTCAGAGCAGAGCTGAAAAGTCAACACCTGAAACATTCCCTTAATTACTGAAAGGTCTTCTCCTTTATCACTCAAATTCCTGAAACTTAGGTCCAGTGAAATAAAAAGACCAATATTTGATGCCATTTTTATCACACCGGCCAAGGTTGTTTGATTTTAATCAACTTATTTAAATAATTGATTTAAATCATAATTCAAATTGCAGAAAAAAATCAAAAAGAACATTTAAAAATCATGTTAAAGAAACCTATTCTTTTGGATATTTGAAAGGAAGAAATGGCTAAATTTAATATACTGATGCCATTAAAACATCTACACATTTATATTTATCTTTACTTATCTTTACTTTTTCACTGTAAAGAAAAATGATGACAGTTTTGTTTGAAGCTGGTCATAATTTGAAATTTTAATGTGTATTACCACTTTGCTTTTGGATGGTTTTAACAATATGACAGAAAGTGAAGTCATTAGAGGTTTTCTGTTGAGACACGCTGTTTGTGGAATAGCCATTCTATTTATAATTATATTACTAGTCAGTTCTTGAAAGTGCACATTACGGAATGTCTCTATGCACTAATTATCAGCTGAATATATCGTCACCAACACCATGAACTGACACACATCTTCACTTTTGTGCCAGTTTGTGAGAAGCATGATCAGAGCAGTTTTGGTTTCACGAAGTGACACACATGTGTGCGTGCATATTGTACCCTCATGCATTATCGAACAATCTCGTTTTCACGAAGAAGCACAAATGTGTGTTTTGTAATATAGCATAGAAAAAAAGCTTTAAATGTCTAAAATGATTTTATTTACCTGTAAATGACTAAACAGAAACAAAATGCTCTTAAAACTCGTAAGTGTGTAAATTAAGGAGAATGTCAATTTCTGAATACAGCAAATCATGGAGCACGTGACGCAAGACATTTGTGCCTCTTCATGAAAACGAAAATATCAAATTTCTTTTAAATACGCATTGAAGCACGCACACATCTATAGATTTGCTGGTGACGATATACATTAAAAAATAACAGTACCGCCATAGGTCTATGTCATAAAAACTGGAACACCAAAGATGTGTACTTGTTCTTAAACTCTCCTGAAGTATTACATAAGATATGTACATGTGTCGGCAAATACAAGAGTTTTATCCCAATTGAAGAGGCAAAGACACTTATCTTTGATCATCTTGTTTATCACTGAAATTTTCACCAACAGTTAAATCATATCAAGAGTGTGTATTTCAGCTACAGGTAGCTATATTTGGCAAATTTTGTTTGATAAACAGTTCAATGTGTGACAAACTTGGCCTTGTCAGTCAGCAGTGGGTCATTTAGTCACCACATGGTGTCTCATGTCTTCAACTTCTGGACCAAAAAGCCTTCTGGACAACTCATACAAAATTGATTTAATTGACAAAAAATTACACCAAAAAAATCTGATGTCAATTTTCTAAAATCTGATTTTTTTTAAAATCATGATTTTATCCAGCCTGTTCCCAGTGGTGGCTGTTCATACTATACGAGGGTACATACAAAAATGTTCTGAATGTGAATTTTTAGAACTGCTATTAATGCTCTTCTTCAATTCAAAATCCACCTTTCTGTAACATCAAACATTTTCAATAATAGAATCTAAACTGAAATGTTTGGTGCCTTTTTTATTCTTACACCTGTCTGCTGGGGCTCACTTGCATACAGTGGGTGTGTATATGATACACAAGCAAAAGTGTCATGTCATCTGCAGCAGGAAACTCAGTTTACAGCTATTTCTGCACCCAACTGTTTTCCAGAAGTTATGCTATTTTGCAGTTAAAAAGTTTGTTTATTTTGGTAGGTCATTATTTCTTCCCAAAGCAGTAGCTCGGTGACCCAAGTTTTCTGGTCAATATTTTATACGAGGACAATTTGGATTCACAGAACAGACAACCCCCATAAAGAGTATCCTGAGTGAATTACATCTCGCCAACAGTGCTCTCATTTAATTGACACAGAAAGCATGGGCAATTGGAAAAGTTTCTTAAAAAATGCAGTTTTCACTTAGCGCCACATAAAAGAAATCTCACACATTTTCTAAGTAAAATTCACACAGACACAAAATATTAAAGACCATTTCAAGGTAATGAATCAGAACTGACTAGGGACACCACACACTGACAGGAAACAGAAATGGAACAGGCACGAAGACTTTGACCTTTGACAGACGTTCACGTTCACAGCCTGAATGTTCTTTCAGGAAGGAAAGAACTTTCCCCCATATCAGGTTGGATATGCTATGGTAGCTAACTGTGATCAATTGCAAGGTAGCCGTTTTCTACTAAAAGCATTGCATTACAAAGCAGCATCTGCACATGCACATAGTACAGGAAAACCTAACACTGAGACCTCCAAAAAAAATTCCATGAAAATAAAAATATATGGATTTAATGAGTCATGTCAATCACCCAAAAGTTTCTGTACCTGCCCACATCACATTTTTAAACGTTAATTTCCCAAGCATAACTGATTCACAAAAGGCAGACAGAGTATATGTATTTAACATTGAAGCCTGTCTTCACTATCAGACTGGTTCTTGAAAAGGGCACACACAAACAAAAGAACTGACCTTACCCTTTCATAATAACACTCTGACACTAAAATGATTCAGCACATTTCTTTGCACACAACCCTTCTGCACAAATCCCTTGCAGTGCTCCAGGCAATTAGAGTTTGCAACCATGGCAACCAAAAAAACAGGCATTTCTAATTTATTGCCTAAGTGCTGCAGACCAATTTTCAAACCCTAAATGCCCTGGTTAAAAAAAGTGATTCATTCATCCTCTGGAAGCAATGAATATGGACTCCATGTGTATTGGTAAGATGTCTCATGAATATCTAATTTTCCATTTGAACTGGGATAATGACATCTAGACTAAACCTAGGAAAATTATAAATAAGTGTGTAAGTATGCGCACATTACAAATACAGTTTTGGGGACATCTTATGACCTCTAATGGCACCAGTACGGCAAAAAGTATTAGGACACACCCTCAGATTACATGCACGGTTAATGACTGGACTTGAGCACGTATCTAATTTCAAGTTGACTTGAGTGATAAAAAAGCACCAAAGAGAGAATGGCAGAAAAAGAAAAACTGAAGACTAGAGATTCTATCTGCTTTAACAGAACACAGGGCTTTTACACAGTTTTCTTTTGAGAGAAAAAGGCATTTGTTCACATGAAATACATGACAATATCAATTTTGCAACTTTCACTCTAAAACACACTCCCGAGCTATAAATAGGTAAAAGGAAAAACAAACAATTTGCAATGAAATCATATTTACTGTATCATATGAATTTTTGCCACTCCAGCTGAATATTTGGTTATGGGTCCATCCTTGGCAGCTAGTTCAATAGAGGGTACAGAATCCAATTTGCATAAAGTTTGACCATAAAGTTGTACTGCAGGGAAAACTTGATCAAGAATGCCTCGTGGGATGCACATATAATCATGAAGAGCATTTTCCCGCATGCCCAGGGGACCTGATGGTGCACTGGACAAATGTCTCCTCACAATATATTACTCTAACTTGGTGAAAGAGCTTGAGAAACCATTTGGCTTGTTTACATGATTACATTTGGGAACATAAATCTTAAACTTTCTGGAAATGCAGCAGCACTAATAAAACCCTAACCATGCTGAACCCAACAAGGTTATGCGGGATTTCAATGGTCCCTAGGGGGTTTTAACTTAATGTTATCGATCAATTCTGTGTTGGAACATATTTGGGCCACAGATCCATCCTTCTGGTGAACTGTACTATGACAATAAGACCCTTCGGAGATACTAAAATGCACCCTTTTCACTAGTTACAAAGTTTGTGTTATGTTTCATCTTGACAGCTGTGAACACTTGTCACCTTGGGAAAACAATGTATAGATTTTGGATTTTGGCATATATGTTCGCGTCTGTCTTCTTATCAATTTCTATGTGTACAACCACAATGAAGTGCAATGCAAGGAAACAAAACATCTTGCAACTCTTGTCGTGGACAGCCATAATACTAAAGCTTTCCATAAATTCACTGTTTCTCTTATCGTGAATTTATTGTAACCAGTAAATTCAAACTAAGTTGTTTTCTATTTTCTATTACTGTTTCCTAGTAATCTGTACATGAATGGCATTCACTCTCGTTTGTATTTTCTTTATTTTTTTAGGCACGGGTGTCGTTATTTTTAGATTGGCACAAAAATTGACAAAAAGACTAAATTAAAGCTCCCTTAAAATGGCAATTCATAGCATGCACGTGAAATTTAACTGGATTGAAGGGTCCCTGGAAGAATTCTGTGACCAAAGAATTCAGTAGGAGGGACCTGTAAATTTCCCTGAGTATCATTTACCAAGCCACCACAAATCCAGCGATTAGTACCGGAAATGACTAAAAGAGCAAAGTGAACAAGTTGCAGTCGCCAGATGGCATGTGGACCATAAATACCTTCACAGTCTATAGAGATTATTCACAGCAGCCATCTTCCAGGTCAGTGTTTTTGATCCATAGAGATACACAGGAGTGTATATCCCCCATATTAAAAGCACTGACCGGGAAGGTGGCTACGGCGTATAACCTCTGCCCAGTCTAATCCCTCGGCTGAAAAATGGCATAGTATTTGCAATTCATAAAACAAATTAATCATATTATATAGGCCATTAGCTTTTATAAAAATCCCATGTGAATCTTCTGCAAACATACAGGCACTTGCATGTCAGTGAAATTTATCCTATTTTAAGTGCTGGTATTTTAAAAGCTTACGGTACTTCCTGTTAACTGACCATAGTTCCTGGTAGGCAAGTGTAGAATCATAAATGACTGGAGAATGACACAAACAAAATGGCTGGATCTATGGGACACATGTATCCGACAGAAGCAAGGGTAGTTCTGGGGGGGGGGAGGCAACAGAGACTATAAACCCACTCCATTTCACATGTACAATTCAAATCAATGGTTTTTCATGCAAGTTCTGTCAATTTTGCTCAAACAGCACCGATCATACAATAATTTAAGTTTTTACAATGGATAAAATAAATGGCCAAAACCCCAAAGATAACTCTACAAAAAATAATGCACAAACACAAATGAACCCTTAAAAAACTATGTAACCTTGTCTAATGCATCAAATAAGGCAAACAAAAATTGTTTCTACAGACCTTTGTTACAGACCCAGAAGATCGGGTGCATGACCTTGCGGAAGTTTCTCCATTGCCAGCCCTCTTTGGTCCAGTACTGTTTCTTTTTGTAGCAGCCACTCTCAACAAAAGCCAGAAATTCCTTATTGGTAATCAAGAACTGCGAAGCCTCAAATGCAGGCACCCTAAAAAAAAAAATCAAACACTGTGCAAAATACCGGGCCCTCAAATTCTATAATTTCTGAAAGAGTCTGACAGGAAACATACTTTTTGAGTAAAATGACATATGCATGTATTTCTTTCAATGATATTTCTCCAGTTCGTTCTGTGCTCCAGTTCAGCTGTAATTTATGGCATACCATTCCAAGACCGAACTGGAGAATTTTAAGCTAGTATCTAAATGATATCACATTAAACATGATTACTGCAAATTCCACAAGTTTCAGTGTCCCTAACTAGCAAAGCTTTCAGTGGACATTTTTTGTCCCTTTTACTCGGGAAATTACATTCCATCTCAGCCTGGCTAGGGTGCATCTGATCATATTCATGCTCTACTTCTTTTCCTCAAAGTAAAGAGTACATCTCAAGCTTTCATGTGAAAATAACAGCAGATACTCATGAATCATCTTGAAAGCTTTTTTATACGGTGCATGTTTCATGAGGTGCTATGCTGATTTGTCGCCCAACCCATTCTGGTCTTTCTGTTGGCTAATATTGCGGCATGAACGGCAATAATCCGAGGTATAGGTCAAGTATTTATCCAAAAAACGACAGTGTGCCAAACACATGCAGTTTGCAGGTTGGGTATTTGTACTGCATGTGCATTCATTCTACAAATGTGTGCATAAGGTTTTCCTATTCAATCACAATGTTTCTCTTGTTTCCGACCATGCAAAAATGTGTATGCTTTCTCTTCAACATTTGACCACTCAAAATAATTTACCGAATGTGGTCGGTTTCATGTGACTATTTATCGACGAGTGACTAATTTAGACTTGGAACCTGTGCACACAACATGCTATCTCACAATGGTTGACTTCATGGATGCTGTACAAATGAAGCCCCATCATTAGAGTGGTATCAAGCGAGAGAAACTCCTATAGGTTGGAAATTGATATTGCCGAGTGTGACAGCTCACATTTTCTTGCATTCTGGGTACTCGTTGTCCCAGCCGTAGGAGGGGAAATCCCTGGGTTTCCCGACGGTGACTTCGCAAGCGGGCACGGTCACCATCTTGTTGTCTCCCATTCCTTGCCCTGGCAGGGAGGAAAAAAAACTCATGCATGATGTACAGAATCACACTAAGCTGAGGGTGAAATGCCAATAAACAAACCAGGATAGTTTGCTATTGAAATGACATACAAGGGTCTGCACAAGATCAGTGTGTACAGAGGTACTGAGGGCAAGACCTTTGTATCACTGGGATAGGTTCCAGTAAACCTTTTGTGCATTCCTTGTGACTAAATCAAAATAACAAAACACAGTCTCTGAGAAACCATGGAGATGCCAGTAATGCTGAACCTCTATTGTTGGTGAGTCGATGAGGTGGAAATAGTCACTTTTGTTGAGCTGATGCGTGTGCGGTGTCTTTCATCAGAGGGAAGCAAGTAAAGGCCTTATTCAAAAATACAAACTAAACAAACTGAGCGACCGTAACAAAACTATCTTAAATTCTTCTTTCCTTGGTAACACGTTGAGCACTTACATGTATAAGCCTTATTTTTCTGTTGATCGATCATTGTAAGATGATGGAACACTGGATTGCACAAGAGCATGCCACGCATCGTAACATCAGCCATTATGGTCGTGGGTTTTTAGATATAGCAATTGAATGATTTGATTTGTTGTCATGGCAACTAGCTGGCTATGGTCTTTGGTTCTCTGCATGATGATGACGTCACGCCAGAAATATTTGTTTCAAGAGCACATACTACACTCTTGTTCCCTTTTTCCCTGAATGCTTCAGTGTTTTGCTAATTTCTCTCAACGGGAAATGCTATAGTCTCTAGCATTTGCAGGGCTTTAGCTCATGAATTTTATTGAAAATGTTCCTTAACCATTTTTTCTTACTATGCACATATATTTTCATGATCACACTTAAGCCTTTCTGCCTTTAAAATCTGATGCAGACAGCATTCGTCTCCTGGTCGTGTATGATAAATATGTACTTTATCCATACTTTTAAAGAACACCTCTGGGGAAAATATGTTTCTCTGATTTTATCTGTTCAAATAAACATGGAAGCATCCAAAGTCAACGCAGTGTCATTTGTCTTCAGAGCTCAACTACAACAAGTTTAAAAGGGCTTTTTTCTGTTCATGCCAAGATGCTAATTCTGAATGTAGATTGCATCATTTGGAGAAAACAGAGAAAATGAGGGGACCCTCGCCCTGTGTACGTAGTGGATAAACCCTTGTGCATGCAAAACAATGCATTAAATATAAAATAGATAAAATCAGAGAAAACATGTTTTCTTTTAGAGGTGCTCCTTTAAGGTGTTTCGTTTTTGATAGATCCCTGATTTTGATGTGTGATTAAACAAACAGGCCCACCAACATGCCCACAGAGCTTAACAAGAGGATCATACATGTACTGTGACCACACAGGCTGGTTCTGATAGTGTAAATATGTAAAGAGTGGTAAAGGTAAGAAATAAGAACAGTAAACAAGGAAAAAATATTTTCAGTACACGTTAAAATCAAAGCACACCAGAGGTCACTGTGATACATCCCTACATTTTTGGTCAACTGCACATGATATCGAAGTCCAAACATTTTCCTCTACAAACTTCTCAAATCCACTGATCCCTGAAGAATTTGCATGTCTGCAGAATGTGTTCATAACATTCAATACAGACCATGTCACATTTGACAATCTCGGATTGTGCAGCACCTTATGAATGGGCACCTGAAAAGCAGCCAAGTACATGTACTTGAATACAGTTTGGTTTATTGCTGCACTGCAGAACTGAACACTTAATTCCCCCAAAATCCAGAACATAAACAGAGCGGGCATGTAATTCATTCCCAACTTTCATTGTCAACCACGGTGGATCCAGAACAGGTGTTCTGTTATCTGGATATAGTTAACAATTTTCATTGTTGACTATAACATGTCTGCATGTTTGAGTTCACCTCCCTTTTGGGCACTCTTCTCTCTTAAAATTGTCAGGCATGGGCCCTCTTTCAGTGAATGTTGGATATGCATTTGGTTAAAGTGTGTAGCGATTGCCAGCATTAATACAGGTCTGAACTCCAATGCCGAATATACATGTGTACCCCTGGCCAGAGACCTAAACCGTGTTTGTTTTAATGGCCGCAGATGTTTACCATGGTAGGCTGGTCCTGGGCGCCAGTCCTTGGGTTTACGTAACAGGTAGATGGGTAGCTGCTGTATCAGGACTGAGGACGTGGTGAAGTGGATTCTCTCATGCTCAAAACCCATGAACAAAGCCCACTGCAGAGAACGGGGGGGAAAAGTCATGGATATCAACAGACACAGGCAAAAAAGTTTGACAAACTGAAAAGCAGATTGCAAATAGTGAGCCCAGTTCAAGCTTAAACTGTCAGGAAGTAAGTTGACAAATTACTGAACTAAATTTTCCTCTGGAGTTCTGACCAGACCTAGATCCATTGAAATAATTTGGTTAGCATATCTTTATCAGGACGTCATGGAGATTCTTTAATAACTTAATCTTTTAAGCAACCACATACACCACCTTAGCAACTACATGTATTTAAAACAAACCACCTAGAAACTATTATCATAGAGTTGTTATTTTCTGCATTGTTGCGTAGATGTACATACATTGAATATTACATGCTTAGGCCATTTTAGCAGCTC